TTCTCCTGAGATGCTCCCACGAGCAGGGCTGTAGATAGCATCTGGCATCTTGGGGAGAGTCGGCACACTCGTGTCAATACCAACTTTGGGCGGCCGAGGTGAAGGCATCTCTCGAGGACCCATCGGCTTCGGGAGCGTTATCTGGTGTGTCTTGATGCGTGGATCTTGACCTGGTGAAGGTTGAGGGCCTCTCAGGTTGGCAAACCTGGCAGCGAGATCTTGAACGCCATTTATGGATGCTCTTTGAGCACCGGGCTTGATAGCGTTCCCATGGAGAGACTGGGGTTTCGGTTGAATTGCTGGTTTAGCTCGAGCAGGAGAACCATTCATGTCATGCCCATCAAATCGATGCTTTGAGGGTGATGTGGGCCCTTCGACGGTCGCTTTTGATGGTGTATGTGGCCGGCTTCCTCCTTGTGACGAGTTCGGTCGAACAGTCCGTGGTTGCACACCAGATCGTTTGTTATCCGCAATAATCTCGGCCTTGACCTTGGCATACACATGGTCCTGCTGGCTGATCTTGGCGAGTAAGTTGGTATGAGCTTTTACAAAATCGCCGTGACTCGTTTTAAGATCATGATATTCGGAATGGTTGGTGATGAGTTGTACAGCGATTATGGACGCCCGTATATATTCATTCAGAGCGATGGCCGGCCTGCGAAACTCTCGAGCGATCTCGGCTTGCTTAAATGATGCCTCGGCCGATTCTAGTAGTTTCCGAGCAGACACGTTCCGGTCGAGGTTCCGCGGAGTGAGAACATCGTCAATATGAGGAATCAGAGCCTTTGAAGGAGATTCGCCTCCTCGATTGCCGCCTGGTATCGGACCATGGTTGAATGCGCCGGGGCTGCCCAAGGAGCGTGAGCCTGCGGTGGCCACGCTGCTTGCGCGCGAATGCCCTAGAGAGGCCATGATGCCTTGCTCGGTGTTCTGAAGTCGTTATACGGAAAGGTCTCGGTCGGTAGATTCGATTTTGAGAATCGAAGGTGAATTATAGTGTTTAAGTTGCGAAATTAGGTTTTGTCGGCGAAAGGTTGCAATGAATTATCTGTGACAACAACGACAGAGCCGTAGAGTGGCGGAGTATTGAAATATAAGGGTCAACAGGACCTCGACCGAGTAGAGATGGCATCAATATGCAGCATCTTAAAGGATCGCGCGAGTAAACATGACAAACAAAGGCTCCTCCCGAACAAGAACCATGGGACGCCGAACGAGAGGGGTCGTATTGTCAGGAGAATGAACTTGGTATAAAGGATGGATGGTTGTTCATGGGTGACTTGAGTGCCATGAGGTGAGGTGTTAGTAGTCGCGGGGAATAAGGTAGGTACCCATGAGAGCGTCTGAGGTACTTGGTAGGCCACCTGATCAGCTGCAAGAAGTAAGTACTTCTGACCGCTCTTTCGTACCGAAGCTCAGGGACCTTACCTCTCTGTTCGAGGTCACTCATGCACCTGAGCCACGTACGCCACAGAATACGTCGTCATTCTCCCACAGAACAAGAGCTTAGCGTGACCGCGTGCCAGCGCTGACGACAAGCCAGGCGTTCTACAGCGGGGTTTTAGGCTGCCTCGAAGTGCACTGCTGTGGAATCAATACTCATCTCAGCCAATCACAGCTCTCATAACCTTACTAAATGAGGCACCTTTCTGCGTCAGATCCTCAATCGCCGTGCCCAGACAGAGGCTGGGGTTAACGAGCGCCTAGCCTAGAGCATGGGAGCTTCGCAGGCACACACTGAACCTCCATCAGACATTAACATCAACATCAACAGCAGCAACTGCTTCATCGAGCATCGTGACCTTGTGCGTCTGTACCTCAGACACCTCGATACTGATACCTCTTGTTCAGATTCACTTGGTCAACTGAGCGCAATACCCCTCCTCTTTGCTGATCGCTGTAACCAAAAGCCAAGATGATGAGTTGGTGGTCGTCCTCCGCCAATACGGCCCTGGACGAGCAGATCGAGAAGGCCACAAGCAGTAGCCTGTATGTCGCCAGACAGCCTATGCCCTGGTGAACTCGGCTAACAATGGTTCCAGAGAAGATATTGCCCTTAACCTCGAAATCTCCGATGTCATCAGATCCAAGACGGTCGCGCCGAAAGAGGCAATGCGCTCTCTCAAGAAGCGCATCGGCAACAAAAACCCCAATACACAGCTGAGCGCTTTAAACGTATGAATCATATCGATCTGATAACAATTACCAAAGCTGACTCCCTTCAGCTTACCGATACTTGTGTTAAAAATGGCGGTTCCCATTTCCTTGCTGAAGTCGCATCGCGAGAGTTTATGGATAACCTTGTTTCGCTTCTTCAGGCTGTCGGAGGCGGTGCTGTCAACGCTGACGTGAAATCGAAAATTCTTGAGCTTATACAATCTTGGGCGGGTGCCACTGAAGGTCGTTACGAGCTTTCATACATCGGCGAGGTCTATCGGACCCTACAACGCGATGGATACCAGTTCCCTCCCAAGATATCCGTGGCCAGCAGCATGATTGACAGTAGCGCTGTGAGTATCACTCTTGTCATAGTCACACCGTGGAGAAAACTGACGATATCATCAGCCTCCGGAATGGACCGACTCCGACGTATGCATGAGATGTCGAACACCATTCACCTTTACAAACCGAAAGCACCATTGCCGAAACTGCGGCAACTGCTTTGATCAGCAGTGTTCGGCCAAGGTTGTCGCTCTCCCGCACCTGGGAATCATGACGCCCGTACGAGTCGATGATGGCTGCTATGCGAAACTTACCAACAAGGGACATAAGATTCCCAACCCATCGCTCGATCGATCGCCGACATACCCCCATAAGACACGAAGCACATCAGCCATGCAGCCTCGGAATGCTCGAGTTGACGATGGATTTGACGAAGATCTAAAAAAGGCGTTGGCAATGAGCCTGGAGGAGGTTAAGACCCATTCTCACGGCTATGCTGGACCTGCTCAGACTTCTTATGCAACCAACGGTGACGCTTCGGCGGCCAAACAAGCAGAGGAGGACGATGCTGATCTCAAGGCCGCCATCGCTGCCTCTCTGGCTGATATGGAAGAGCAGAAGAAGAGGCACGCTGCGGCTCTCAAGGAACAGACGTCCAGCTCTATGGACACTTCTGCCACCACCAACTTTGTTCTCCCCAAGAACGATTATGAATTGACACCTGTGGAGGCAGAGAACATCAACCTGTTCTCAACACTGGTGGACCGGCTTCAGACTCAGCCGCCAGGAACCATTTTACGAGAGCCACAGATCCAGGAGCTCTATGATAGCATCGGTACATTACGTCCCAAGCTGGCAAGAACTTACGGAGAAACTATGAGCAAGCATGGTGAGTATCCCTTGTCTGCTGAAGGAATTGAGATGCTAATCCAGTCTCAGATACACTTCTTGATCTTCATGCGAAACTCTCTACAGTTGTTCGATATTATGATCGTATGCTAGAGGATCGACTTTCTAAGGCCTACAGCCAACAGAACCTCGGGGGATATAACTTGCCGCCGCCACGCCAGGCTGCTGGGCCATATCCTTCCATTCCTTCCCAGATGACCAGCAACCCTGCTGGTGCAGAGAGCTTTTATACAGGTCAACAACGGGCCAGTTACCAGGCGCCTCAACACCAGCACTACCAACAGCCACCACCGCATGCAACACCTCAGCCTCAATATCCTTCTTACGGATCCGCGCCAGAAGCACAGCCCGGCCAATACCCTCCCCCTCATCAGGTGCAACGGGCTGATAGTTGGCAAAACAGAGCGCCCTCAGCACCTCAAGATCCGTACCAGCAGCCGCAACAACCTAACGATCACAACCTGCAAACACAAAACCCACAACAGCCACAGGCTCCAACTGCTAGTGACCCCAATGCTTCATACTACTTTACACCTCAGCAGCCTCAGCAGACCCCTCTAGGACCATCTGCACCAGGATCTGCACCTGATGTTAACCAGTCACCATACCCTAACTTGCAGCAACCTTCCCAATATCCTGGGGGATCAGTATCTGCTCCCTCACAGCCAACTCCTGGCCAAGCGCCCGCCCAGGTTGCGCAACCAGGCCAGCCTGTACAGTCCCCTCATATGCAACATGCCCAACCGCCTCAACCATCTCAGCCTCAACCGCCCCAACCAACCCAGCAAGCACCTCCCCCACAGCAGCAAGCGTACTGGCAGCCATCTATGCCCCAGTCACACCAACAACCACCTGTCGCACCGCAGAACTGGGCATACAGCGGTTACACGCAAGATTCATTCCCTTCAGTACCACAACAGGAGCCCGCCAAGCAGCCCGTTAAGGAGGAGGCTCTCATTGAGTTTTAGATTTGGAGATGGACGACCATCATTAATCTTGCCTATGTGTTATATCTGGTGTCTGACTACTATGATTAGTCAAACAGTGGCGTTTACCGGGTTATCAGTTTTAGAAGATCAGAATGGATGTACTCTTGGGCGCGTGAACGGGCGTAGTCATATGTGCCGGTAGCTAAGATGCTGAAACTGTGATACCTTATACCTGCTTTGGGGAACATGCACATAGCCTCGTGAAATGGAATCTGTGAGAGGGAGAATGGAGCCGTTAAGATGGCTTCGTTGTTTGTGTAGACGTGACTCAACCGATTGTGTCCATGCAGTCGTCTTCTAACTCTCCTTCTTGATGAATCAAAGGTTTTCTGGAATCATCTGCTATTGTAGTCAACAAGCCGAGTCGGAGTATACAAATCAGGTAATCGAGGCGATTCCGTGGCGGTCGGAGACCAATCGGCGCTCAACCTTGAATGGTGGACTCCGCTGGCGAAGCCGGACCCAGAGATCATGGAGTCATACCTAGCTTCTTACAAACATGTTTTATGTCTTGTTTTCGTACAAATCATTGCTCTAGCTTTTAAATAGAACCATCTTCTCCTTTAGTTCGCTCTTAGACATCATCTTTATCACTTATCGCACCCAAGTGATCATATATCACTCACTCAAATCTCACTCAATCTTCACATCAGCATCATAATGGCGCCAACTATCCACCTCGTTCGCCACGCTCAAGGCTTCCACAATCTCTCGATCGAGAATGAGCAAATGCAAGACCCAGATTTGACTCCCCTTGGCGAGGAGCAATGCGCTGCACTCCGCAAGGAGTTCCCTCACCATGACAAGCTTACAAAGCTTTTTGCCTCACCTATGCGCCGTACCGTGTATACCTGCCTCCACGCCTTTGGAACCGATGAGCTTAAGCCCATCGTCACGTTTCCAGTGTTTCAGGAAGTCTCCGCCAATCCCTGCGATATTGGTTCGCCTGTAGCCAAGGTCCAGTCTGAGTTCGAGGGAATCGCCGACTACTCCAACGTAGAGGAGTCGTGGACTGATAACGGCCCTGACAGTGAGTATGAGCCTACGCTAGAGAAGCTGACGGCGCGTGGCCTCAAGGCCAGAAAACTGTTGAGAGATCGTGTTAGTGGCGACGAGCACATTGTTGTCGTCTCCCACGGAGGATTCTTGCATTTCTTGACAGATGACTGGTACGGTGTACCTGAAGGAAGAGGTGAGTACCAGTAGCCCCTGAAAAACAATCCCTTACTCGCTCTCTGACTATCGCTTATAGCAACCGGTTGGTCAAACTGTGAATATCGGTCATATCAGTTTGTCGACCCTACCGGCAAAGATGATGATGCTGCACTCCTCGAGACTGAAGAGAGCTGGCAGCGACGCCAAGGAAACACAAAGCCTCCTACTCTGACAGAGCTTAGACAGGTCAAATCTGTTGCGCAGAAACAAATGGCTCCTTACCTGAATCTCATCATGCCAAACTAGACGTCTAAAGGGGTTGGCATAGCGCATGAAGGAGTTTCCTTTCATAACGCATCGCCCATCGTCAGCTGGCCTGAAGACTAAACAAGTATAAACTTGGTTCTCGGAAGACCATTCTCTGGCTTCTGCAAGTCTAAAGGCCAATAGAGAATTCTTGGCTGCTCCAGGGTATATTACATGTTTTTGGTTTTCTGTACTCCTTAATAGAGGACCGCTGGGTGAGCTTACATATACGAATAGATAGAGTTTAGAACAATGAAATTGGGTTTCATGGTAAATCATCAGTTTTATAGCAACGGGACGTGACGTTTTTGTCCACATCCCACAAAATCGAAAACTATCTCCGTCATATCCCACTCTAATTCCCATCTTAACTCCCTGGTTCGTCCAGGTCATGTCTCCCAAGTACATCCATAGCCCCCTGGATCTCTTTCCAGGTTGTGGGACGGATCTCCAGTACTGATAAGCCCCAACCGATCTCTGACCTTGGGTCCGATCGCAACTTACACCGACAAAAGCACTTCATACGTGATGCTTTGGCTTTCAGCAGCTCCTGAGCCGCGCAATCAAGTGGACTCCCGACCTCCTAAGCCAGAAGTGCCCCGTTTATACAAGGCGGGCTATTTTTGAGTAGGCTTTGGAATCGAAAATACTGTTTCTTGTAGAAGTTCTCGCGGCTTGAATAGATGACCCTAGTGAAGAGTTCAAAGGTAATCTCAGGCTGATTTCGGAACATTTGAGTTTTCGCATCTACAAGCTCTTGAAGATCGAAGAACGTTTTGAAGGGTTTCAGCAAAACATTTCCTGTCAATATGACTGAGCTCTGGCTATTTGTGGGTGCTGATGATCGAGATTGCGAAAAGATCAATGTTTTGCGTCTAGCAATCGGTGATTCATGTTCGGGGGCTTTGCTCCCGTTCATAGTTGTGAAACCGACTGTCGATCCAGGTTTTGTCTCATTGCGGGTGTGTTCCTGGACATTGCTCCAGTCTATACCTTCATCCAAAGGTGTATATCCGACGTTGCCCTCTGGTATATCGGCTATCGGACGCGGTGAAGAGTATTGCAATAGCGGGTCATACTCGTCCGCTGATCTCGAGTTACCGCTCCATGTACGCAGAACGCTCGATGGCGGTTGTTGAGGCTCCTCCTAGGTTTCTTCCTCCAGAAACTTCGCCAATGCATCCTGGTCCGACTGTTTCAGAGCAAATTCATCACTATCGACTAAAAGCGGTGACGTTCCTGACTTGTCGGTAGAATTGGGTCCAGTGAGGCTCTCAAAGATTTGATCGAACTCTGGATCATCATAAGGGTCGTCATAAGGGTCTTGGGGTTCTCGCGGAGAGGGGTCCAACGAGGTGTATGAAGACGCGATTGTGTCGGCGTTGGTCGATTGAGGATTATCGGTAAGGGTAAAACTAGACCCTGGAGCTTGAGGAACGTCACTGTAGGTGAGCTGCTGAGGTGATTTGTCGATGGAAATGCGTTGACGTTTGATGTTACCCACGTTAGAGCCCTGGGTCTGCGATATGTGACGTTTCAATGACTGGTCCGGAGGATTGGGCCTGATCGACATATGTAAGAACTAGGAATGAAATCATAAAGCCGGGACGATCGTCTTTAACTCACATTGATAGTTGACGATTGTCGTTTGGTTGCATATTGACTGGAGTCAGTCCCGCCTTTGAAGAAAAGCGTGTAACGTCATTGGGTTCATGAGCCATAGCGTTGTGTCATAGCCATGTCCAGGAGTGGATTTGCTGAAATGTGGATGCTCTCAGAGGTCAACGGCTCTAAAGTGACGTGAATAAGTGACGTTTATTCCCACGCAGAATCAAGGGTCCAGAGCCGCTGAAATTTCCGGAATCTCGATGCACTTGCGATCTTCAAAGACGTGCATCGACGAAGTTTCGATCATGATCAGCCACTTCCCGTGCGGCTCAGAGCACGCACTTGCCTCATCTGTGACGTGTAACGCCACTGTTTTCAAAACCGGTTTAATCCCACGGAGGAAGGAGCGAAGAAGGAGGAAGGAGAAGAAGCAACAATGGAAATTGCGGAACCCTTTGAAAGGCCAGTAAAAATCGAAGGGAAAGGGCAGTGAAGACAATGCAGTTGCTCATGACATCTTGCATGCATTTTTTGAGAACCCAAATGTGTCTCGACTGCTTAGAGCAATCCCGGGCCTGTCGCTTATCCATTTTAGGAAAGACTGCAGCCTTTTCTGCACAGCACATTGGCCCAAAATCTGTAACCAGGATTAAATCTCTGGTAACCTTGTGCCGTCAGGAACAACGCCAGCTCATGAAATTGGCTTTTCCGACTGCAGATAGATAAAACGTCCCCCAATATTGAAGAATTTGGGTAGCCATAACTAAGAAAGAAGCCATTGGGGGTGGGAGCAGTACCAATTGGGGGCGGGTACAGAAAGTCCACCAACCAGGGGGGAAGTCGACTGAACGTCACTGAATTGAGCCTCCAGCAGGCGTCCACTAGCCATCCTCCAAGAGTCTGGACTCTGCGGGTCCCACTCCTTGAAGAAGGTTTCCGGGAGTGATTAATGAGTGAAAGAAACTCTAGCGGGTTACTGCTTTGGTCAAATTGGATGCAGCTCGTGCTATTTTGGAATTCAGAAAATGAAAATTGGTTCTTCAGATAGCTCCAAGCGTGGTTCAAGTCTTCGTAAGCTTTGTATTAGTCTCAGTGTGCCCTCATGATCAAAGATTCAATTTCCCCAGTAATTCCTTCAGCGTGGGGCTCCGCATCACGACGCATGACCTGCAAAGTGGGGATGGGGTATGGCAAGCAATGGCCCACTTTATGGTGGTAGTAGCTGCTTTTTCGATCTTATCCGGACCTGGGCGTGAGCATTGCACATGTGCCTGTCAGTTGCGCCTGCCCTTACCAAACTTTGACTCCAAGACGTTTCGGTGCCATCCCCGTATCTTGTGCCTTCCGTCTAACTCAAAATGGGATCCCGAGCCCTCCTCCGGTCTTTCCCCCACTCGATCCTCACGCATTTATCAAGGCCGGCTTCCTCAACTCAATGTCCATTCTTTCCATCTCCTACTCTTCTTTCTCCATCGCTCATCAAGCATCTTCTCTACCGATCTAAACCTATATCAACAACCACTTCTTGTTCTCCTCCTATATACATATATCACAACGATCTACCTCCTTGGCAACGACTTCTTCCACCTGCAATTAGCCATAAACGGTCACACACTACGCCACATCCTTTGCAGAAACAACACTGTACTTGCTAGGGACGGCCCCCTTGCCACGATATTACAAACCTCCGATTCATAAACTCTCTCTCAACCACATCGTGTGCAAGGATGCAACAATTCACAACAGCAGACGCTCCTCGCTTGGTGCAGGACAACTTCGATGATATAAACCCCAAGGACTTCATCGAGCAAGAACCCAAGTCTAAGCGCCCACGAACTGCTGATATCCTCCTTGAGGAGCAATTACCACAGGGTCTTCTCAAGGCTGCCGAGGCTGCAGACCTTGCTGGAGACTTCTTCTCCGTCAAGCCTGAGTCAGACCATGAGCAACTCCCTGAAGGTATCGAGGAGACAGCAGAGGAGAAGCAAAAACACTGGTTCGTCGGTAGTGTAGACCAGGGCACCACATCAACTCGCTTCCTCATTTTCAACGGTCATGGAGAGCCCATTGTGAGCCACCAGATTGAGTTTGAAAACCACTATCCCAACTCTGGGTGGCACGAGCATGACCCCATGACACTCCTCGAGTCTGTAGAGACATGCATCGAGAAGGCAACAGAGAAGTTCTGCGAAAAGGGTCACCATATCGAGGATATCCGCTCCATCGGTATTACAAATCAACGTGAGACTACTATCCTCTGGGACAACATTACTGGCGAGCCCCTTTACAACGCCGTTGTCTGGCCGGATACTCGCACTTCTGCTCTCGTCCGTGAGCTCAAGAACAAGCCTGGTGCTGAGAAACTCCAAGAGACTTGTGGTCTCCCACTGTCTACCTACCCTTCAAGTGTTAAGCTGCTCTGGGTCCTGAAGAACGTTGAGTCAGTCAGAAAGGCTTACGATGAGGGCCGTCTATCGTTTGGCACCGTCGACTCTTGGCTCATCTATAAGCTCAACGGTGGACAAGACCGTGAGGGCGGACCCATCTTTGTCACCGACGCCACCAACGCCAGCCGCACCATGTTCATGAACCTCAAGACCCTTCAGTACGATGATGAGCTCCTCAAGTTCTTCGAGGTCGACCGTACTAAGCTCAACCTGCCCAAGATTGTGCCTTCCTCTGACCCCACTGCCTACGGATCTCTCGCCCGTGGGCCTCTCAAGGGTGTCCCCATCGCTGGCTGCTTAGGAGACCAGTCTGCAGCACTTGTCGGTCAATGTGGATTCAAGCCAGGCCAGGCCAAGAACACCTATGGTACCGGCTGCTTCCTTCTCTACAATGTTGGCAACGAGCCTGTCATCTCCAAGACCGGACTCCTTGCTACTGTTGCATATGATTTCGGAAAGGGTCGTAAGCCTGTTTACGCCCTTGAGGGCAGCATCGCTGTCGCTGGCTCTGGTGTCAAGTTCCTCCAGAATAACCTCGGCATCATCAACTCTTCCTCAGAGGTGGATACTGTCGCCAAAAGCGTTCCTGACAACGGCGGCGTTACATTCGTGACAGCTTTCAGTGGTCTCTTTGCCCCCTACTGGATCGATGACGCCAAGGGTACTCTCTTCGGTGTCACCCAACACACTAACAAGGGCCACATTGTGCGAGCAACGCTTGAGGCTACTTGCCATCAAACAGCCGCCATTCTCGATGCTATGGCATCTGACTCTGGCCACGCCCTTGACATTCTGGCCGTCGATGGCGGCCTCTCCAACTCGGACCTCTGCATGCAGACCCAGGCCGACCTTAGTGGTGTGCCTGTCGACCGCCCCGCTATGCGTGAGACTACTGCGCTCGGCGCCGCCATTGCTGCGGGTCTCGCCACTGGTGTATGGGACGAACTAGAGGAGTTGCACGAAGTCAACCGCAAGGGCCGCAAGATCTTCTACCCCGAGACTGACAAGAAGACTGTGCGCCGAGCACGAAAGAGGTGGGAGCGAGCCGTCGAGATGAGCCGAGGCTGGCTTCAGGAGGATGAGGACGAGGATGACGAATAAAATAATGCGGGGGCAGAGGACCACAAAAGTCTTGATACTTTTGTATAATGACATGATTTTGGGCGTTGACTTGGAATAGCGCGTCTTGAGCCTTGAGCATGGGAGCTCGGCGTTTGACCTTTTGAATTTTAGTATAGCATAAAAGCCTACATCTATTGCATAATACCATCAACAGTTAAAATCAAGCATCTTTCATAATCAAACTGTGTGGTGATAGTGATGTTGTTGTGCCATTTATATTAACCTGTCAATTTGTTTCAAGCCATCAAGACAGTGCTGAGGTTGGTAACTCTTACAGAAATTCAATAGCTAGTAGACAGAATTTTACTTGTGTAGATCATGAGAATGTCCTTGGACAATCTAGATGGAGACAAATATAGACAAGATACATATTTATGGTGAACGATTCATTCCATTATCGTGTAGGTATGTTATGAGTGAATGCCTTGGATCATGCTGATAGGGTCACAATTGCTGTTGAGCATACGGAGGAACAGAGTTGAGATTCATTGTGGAGTGGGACTGAACTACTAGGTATAATCTACCAGGCACCAGGCCGAGTCAATGAAAGACCAAGCCTCGGGGGGGGGAATTAAACGAGACTGGCTTACACCAAAATCCACCGATCTACCACCAAATCCAGTCTCGTTTTTTATTTCCCCCCCTAGCCAAGACACACTGAAACTAGGAAAATAAACAAAGGTGGGAGATGCGAGTTGCCAGAAACAAAGCCGGACTAACTGCCTTGCCTACCTACCTAGGTAGGAAGATGGGAGTGTTGTCAAAAATCGTGAACCTCGGAATGCCTTGATGGGTTAGTTAGATTCGTAAGGTGTCGCCTCACCCTGTCTTGTCTTGTCTTGTCTTGTCTTGTCCTGGGCTGGGCTGGGCTGGGCTGCTCTGCAATGCAATTCTGATAAAGCCCCCACCAACAACCAAAAGATGGGGGGTGAGGTAAGCTTCTGCGGTAGATTCTAGCCCTGCTCTTAATTTAGATCTGTCTAGGATTGTAAAAGATCACGCGGGATGAAAGAAAAAAGGGAAAAGTGGGTGTATCCAGGAACTCAATGCACGTCCCATGTAACGAGGTACAGTACAGTACGTGTTCGGATCCGAGACATGGGCATGGGGGCATCAACTCCGTTTTTATATACTGCATTGCATTTTGATCCTCGTAAGCATTGTAGCAATTCAAGACGTGTGAGTGGGAGTTGACAGTTGGGAATGTGGGTTGTCAGGTTTAGCTCATCCTAAGCGATGAACGGAGCAGAGCCGCAATTCCGGAGGGGGCCCGGGGGGAGAGCTGCAGTCAATCCAGTTCCCCGCTCTCAGGCACGAAAATGAAGCTAACTCGATCAGGATTACCGAATGAGTGGGTGGGATATTAATTACTGTACTGTATCTTGGGTGCCCCTTCATGTGACGGGAACTAAGATTACGGGAGGAGACGAAAGACGAGAGGGGCCAGAAGAGAGATCGGGGTTTCCGAGAACGGAGACAGCTGGAGACGGTGAAGATGAGACTGCGATACTTACGGTAGCATAGTCACTAACTAGTCTCTCACTAGAAATGTTGAGTTGAGGTGAGTTGTTGAATCTATCCTCCCCTATCTCGTGTCTCCTCTCTTCTCCTATACCCACAACACCACGGACCACTTCACCAACATGCTCACGCGGATATCGATCAGTGGGTTTCATACAAATCACAAACAACACTGACTCATCCTACTCTATGCTAGATACCATCCCACGATACCTTCACTCTCACCCCTTCTCCTGTCTCTCACAGGACAGTGTTTGAGCCCCCCAGGCCCAGCCCCAGCCCCAGTCCCAACTTTTAATGCACGACACTAAGAAAGTCTTGTCTTGTCTTGTCTATCACACTAGCCTAGAAACCGCAAGCCCTGCTAAC